TCTTCTCCATTCGGGTTATTTTCTTCGAGGTAGGGATTTCCTACTCCATCTTATAAGTTTTGTTTCTAAGTTTTAGTATTTTGATATGTTGGGGGTACTTTGCGTAATTTTGGGAAAACCCCTAGTTGTATTAATAAATTAATTTGTATAATTAATTCATGGAATTAGGAAAATATGCGTTAAATTCATGGAATTGGGGAATTCATTGATTAAATGGCGTAGTTGGATAATTGTATCATTTGTCTATTGAATTGTGTGATTAGTTATTTTCAGTTTAGAAATAACTATTTTGGGCTATCGGTGGAGGATAGCCGTGCTTGTTTGTAGACACTACATGTGGATTAGGGATAACTGAAACTAAATCATTGCCTTAAGTCATCAATTTTGACTGCTGAATTAATACAGACATTATGTGTATTGATTGTGTGTTGTATATAGCGATCCCGGGTTTACCCTGTGTATACCGCTGATCCGGACATGTGTCCGTGGATGTGGGTAGTTTTTGTTTATCTTGGTTGCATTTTTTTTTTCTTTGTGTTTGAGTTATAGGATGTGTTGGCAGGTTTGTTGCAAGTTGGTTAAGTCTAGAAAACCAAAACTAGTTGCCCAGATTTTTGCCTGTTCCGCTCGAGCGGGGGTTTCTGGCGCTCGAGCGGAGAATACACTAATCCAGTATTTCCTGTGTAGTGTTGGACGCTCGACGTGGGATTGACCGCTCGACGCGGGAGTGTTGTATGTTGACGCTCGAGCGGGGGAGTTGGCGCCTCGAGCGGAAGTCCTGATTCTGTAAAAAGTCCCTCACACTTTTAAGTATTTGTATGAAGGTGGTCGACCTTTCCATAATTCATAAGGAATGCTTTTGGTTTTCTTGTGAGGTATTCTATTAAGAACATAATTAGCAGACAATATTGCTTCATCCCACAAGTTCTGTGGTAAGCCTGAACTTAGTAACATGGCATTCATCATTTCTTTGAGGGTTCTATTCTTCTTTTCAGCAATTCCATTTTGCTGTGGAGAATAAGGGGCTGTAGTTTGGTGAATAATGCCATGTTGTGCACAAAATTCATTTAATGGTGCATCATATTCACCACCCCTATCACTTCTATTATAAATCAATGAATTTTTTTAAAACAAATTCAAGAAAAAACCAAAATAATTATGACTACTCAAGTCAGAATTAATGTTTTGACAAAATTATATCCTTATAAAAATTTTGCCTAAGAATCAAACAATTCAAAAACTCATTTGATTGTATACATTCTTGCAACTCCATAACAAATAAATGTCACTGTCATAAAAATATTTGTGACAGAAGAAAATTAAATTATCTCAACTAATGCAAGAGATACACCCCCATATTAATAAAATGGTTCATGGTTTAACAAATTCTACTACGCAAGTAAAATAATTATTAATGACATCTCATGTCACATAATTCAATAATCAACAAAAAAGATTTCTTAAATTACTTCCCAATTAAACGGACCGATATAATTACATACATCTTCATGTTTAAATTTCTCTGGTGTTTAAACACCCATTCAAAATTGATTAGAAATATTCAAATTAACCTACTTATGTCCAAAGTCGACATAATAATTTATTATTCCAAATCACTTGAAATTATTGTTAAGAAATAACTTGAGTTGATATCATACATGCATATCAAACGCATCAACTAAAAATAATGAATTAACAAAATAAATAAATCATGCATGATCCCATCACTTGCATCATGAAATAAAAGTATTCTCAACTCATAAATAAAATCCAATGCATTTAAACTTTAAACTTCAAAATGACAAAACATACCTTCATTTAATAAGTTTGATTTGTACATAAATAAACAAATTAAATATGCATTAAAATGTTCTTGTGAATATATATATATGACTCATGTGCAGAAACAATTCAAGACTATGAATCCACATTGTAATAAAAATAAAATTAGTTTGTAAAACTAATATTTTACTCTAGAAACAAATTCTTCCATGTATATTCACGATGAACTATGATAAAGTCAAAATAATAAACACCTTTTCACAAAGGGTTCAAAAATAAGTAGTCTACCAAACGAAACCGTAAGTTACTTACAAAATTAATAGATTGTGACCGAGTCACAAAGTTACATGATTGATTAACAAAATTAATTTTCTAGTTACTAAAACTAGAAAATAAATTACAATACAAAACAATTTTATTTTCCTTGTTACTAAAACTAGTAAAATAAAATACCGAGATAATATCTGATTACAAAAATCAGAAAACCAAACCACAAATTAATTTTCTAATTACTTAAACTAGAAAATAAATTATAACACAAAATCATTTTATTTTTCTTGTTACTGAAACTAGAAAATACTGTAATTTTATTTTTCCTTGTTACTGAAACTAGAAAATAAAATACCACAAAACGATCTGATTACAAAAATCAGAACAAACACAAAATAATTTTCTAGTTACCAAAACTAGAAAATAAATTAAAAACACTGGACTTGATCAGAAAAGTTATTCAAATAAATTAACCAAGTAAGTTGTTTAATTTTATTATGTTTTTTATTATGTTTATTTAATTAGATTTTATTTTTGTTTTTGTAACAAAATAAAATCTGTGGTTTTATTTATTTATTTTTATTTCGAATTTGATTTTTGTAATCAAACAAATTCTCTCCTTTTCTTTATTTCTTTAAATTCTATTTGTTGTTGTGTACACAATAGAATTAAACCTTTTAAATACAGTGAAGATTGTCCAACAATCTTAAGACAGACTTTTGGTTTTGAATTGAACAGGTATGTGGCTTTTGGTTTTGAATTGAACAGGTATGTGGCTTTTGGTTTTGAATTGAACAGGTATGTGGCTTTTGGTTTTGAATTGAACAGGTATGTGGCTTTTGGTTTTGAATTGAACAGGTATGTGGCTTTTGGTTTTGAATTGAACAGGTATGTGGCTTTTGGTTTTGAATTGAACAGGTATGTGGCTTTTGGTTTTGAATTGAACAGGTATGTGGCTTTTGGTTTTGAATTGAACAGGTATGTGGCTTTTGGTTTTGAATTGAACAGGTATGTGGCTTTTGGTTTTGAATTGAACAGGTATGTGGCTTTTGGTTTTGAATTGAACAGGTATGTGGCTTTTGGTTTTGAATTGAACAGGTATGTGGCTTTTGGTTTTGAATTGAACAGGTATGTGGCTTTTGGTTTTGAATTGAACAGGTATGTGGCTTTTGGTTTTGAATTGAACAGGTATGTGGCTTTTGGTTTTGAATTGAACAGGTATGTGGCTTTTGGTTTTGAATTGAACAGGTATGTGGCTTTTGGTTTTGAATTGAACAGGTATGAAACCTGTTTGTTTTGAATTCAAACAGATTTGAATCTGTTAACAATTCAAACAGATAGCAAAAATGGGAAGGGCCCTGTTTGGGTGTGCATTAATTCCAAACTAGTTTATTTCTGTTTGAAAACGGGAAGGACCCTGTTTGAATGTACAGAAAATCCAAATCAGCTTAATTTGAATTCTGGATTTTATTTTACCAAAAATAAAATTAAATTCAAATGTTTTTGGCCCAAAAAGATTAGTATTGGGCCGAACAAGCCCAACCCAACCACACACCCGCGCCCAGCCCAGCCGGACGGCGGCGCGTGTGTGGTGATTTTTGGATCCAATGGGTCTAGCCCATTTTGCCCATAACCTCTCCATCTAAAACATTTGGGTACCCCTTGGGGCCCACCCCAAGTACCAAACCCATGCCTTATAAACCCTTTCAAACCTTCCCACCAAATCAATGTGGGACAAGTCAATTTACAACCTTAAGGAATTTCCACCAAAACTCCATTTCCATGGAGCACACTTTGGCTTCAATTTCCCATTCACTCGGTAATGGTTTTGAGCAACCAAATATACCACGTGAATCACAACGCGGCATAGAACGCGTTACCACTTTGACCCGAGTAAATCGACGCTCGGGGCCCACCTAAAAAATAGACCAAACTTGAGAAAAAATTCTGGTTTTACCCAGAATTTTTCTACCATTTCCAACAGATTTAACTAGGGTAGGGCGAGGGGCAAACCTCGGGTGTGTGCATTGACTCCACAACACACACACCATTTAAGTTAGAGAATGTAACTGTCCAAATTTGACCCCATACTCAAACTTGGATACGGTTCGTCTAACACTTAGAAGGCTGTCCTAAGACCACTGCACCAAACTCCTGAGAATTGGCCTTGAAGAGTGTAGAACCTAAGACCTCAAGACTTATGTCTCAAAATCTTACCAAAGTGTAACAACCCCTTGGGAATTATCATGTACATACACTGCTGGAAAACAGACTTTTAGTGGCGTTTAAGAAACGCCGCTATATCTTTCAAAAACGCCGCTAATTCCTTTTGCGACGTTTATTACTAAACGTCGAAGCTGCGGCCGTCGCTGTATCTTTACGACGTTTTAAAAAAGCAAGAAATGGGCAACAAAACCATTTGTAAAGAAGATGAAGATGAAAAAATAAATTAAATGTCTCTATGTGGTTTGTACTTTGAATAATGCTTGTGTGCCGCTGCTCCCATAACAAGCCTCCTGATCTGATGCTGAGATACGAGTTCCACAATCCCCTTCTCAACAGAGTCCCTTTCAATATGTAGTACATCTGTGCGTACCTAGATAAAATGTAAAGAATGCAAATATACAAAGAATGTTCAGCAAGTGCACTGATCATGGGACAAAGGAAGTCCTAAGTTTGAGTATCAAGTTAGTAGCTTGGAGCTATTTTCAAACATAAATCTGAAAGCTTCAAAATCCAACATAGATAACCATTGTAATTGATTCTTATGGTAAAATCAGCTTCAATATTTCATAAATTGTCAAAAATAAAAAATAAAAACCAATTTGTTCTGGTGCATGATATCAAGTTCACGGAAGTATATAATTAAAAAAGGTTACATGTTATTGAAAGAAAAGAAGAGAAATAATACCCCTGCTCGGTCACAGAACATCCTGTACTCATGTAGAAGCTTGTTCATATCTTGCCTCTCAATTTCTCGGTATGCCCTGACTTGCCATTCTTCCACTTGGCTTACTGGAAACTTTGTACCCACTGCCAACCAAAAAGAAAATAAAAATAAAAATATTCATGTTTAAGTAGTGAACAAAAAACCATCTCTATAAAATAACAAATAAAATCCACAAAAAAAAAAAGAAAAAAAAAAGCTGCAAACTGCACACAACGTAAGCGATATAAATAAAATGCACGATGGGGGAAAGAGAAAGTGGGGAGGAGAATCAAAAGAAAGGATCATTGGCAGAAAAATAAAAAAACAAGAAACAACTAAACGAATACACTCCCCCTGTTTGTTAAATAAACAGTCACTTTTTTGTAATAAAAGATTACGAGGAGAAAAAAATCTAATAAATACTGCAACAAATTGTACTCGTTTTAAATAGTGAAAAAAACACTTCAGAACCAATTTGCATTGGCCAATCACAAATTTGAAGATGACCAGTGATCTAATATTGACAAAGAAATACAAGATGCTTTTAATATCCACTTTCTTTTATCAATAATAATATCCTCTTCTTTTCTTTTCTGTTTTTTTGGCTCAGCTAGATTAATATCCATTTTTAACTAGTCCATGCTCACAACATCCTGGATGAACAAGAATCATGCTTATGTGCTCATCCAAGAAAAAAAAGAGAGGTAATATATGTATATAGAAGATTATATATGCCGTACAAGCATTGCAACTCAATTTTCAAACTAAAGCCGTCTACTGGCAGATAGTAACTCATCTAAGAGATTGAGATATCAGAATTTATCATGTAACACTGGAATGAAAACAATGATGGAGTGCAGATTATCTCTTATTTAAATATTCTTCTGTCCGTGTAACTTTAAATCACCGTATCCTCTTCTTTCTTTTCCACTTCCTTCTCTTCTTCACCCTCCTCTGTTTTCCCTTCTTCTTTCACTTCACCTTTGTCTTCGACGTTAGCTATTTCTTCTTGTTTCTTGTCTTCTAGGGTTTCAGACGCCATCGAAATGAACTTCCAGAAAAGAGAGAGAGAGAGAGAGAGAGAGAGGGTGTGCTGTATGTATATGTATATAGAGAGATCAAAAAAGAACCTAACAGATCAATTCAACAATTCAACAATTCAACAAATATCGATGTATACAAATGTTATACATGCAGTAAAATTCGAAAGAAATAGAGAGAGAGACTCTGAATCTCTGCAAATGAGGTTCAAGTAAGAATGCCTTCAAAACATTGATTTCATAGATCTAGAGAGAGAGAGAGAGAGAGAGAGACGGTGGAGCTCGCTACCTCGCCGGTGCAGATGACGGTGGCGATGGAGCTTCGAAATCGCTCTGAATCTCGAAATCGATCTGAATCTTCGAAATCGCTTCGAAATCGCTCTGAATCTTCGAAATCGCAGGTGCAGCTGGAGCTTCGATGAAGAAATGTGTGCGTATAAGGATTGAGAGAGAGAGAGAGAGATGTGTGCGTATTCAAGCTTCAAGAACAGCCGATTGATCTCCTCCGTCTTCTTCGTCACTGAGAGAGAGAGAGAGATGTGCGCGAAATTGCTATTACACTTTGCACTCAGATTAAAAAATAAGGGTTTCATAAAGGGGCGCATGTAGCTACAGCATTCGGAGGCGCTTTTAAACGCCTTCAATTAGAAACGGTGCCGTTTTGGTTTTAAAACATATGCGACGGTTACAAAACGCCGTTAAAAATTAACAAACGTGACGTTTAATAAAACGCCGTTAATTAAACGCCGTTAATTGTCTTATTTCCTGTAGTGATATATTGATAATAAAGAATAAACCCTAAATCCACCTACCCACCAACCCCGGGAGAAGGGCGAGGGGCCATGATGATTCAGAACAGAAAATAATGGCCTCTTTTTTCTTTTCTTAGGAAATCTGTGTGCCATGCCATGTAATAAAAAAAAGTTCTAAAATTGTTAACAAAAGAAAGAAACAATTCCATAAGAATTGGGATCTGTAATAACTAACAATAATAATAATAAGGGAAAATTTCATCCGTCTAAAACTTGAAAAATAATTACAAAATAACGATAAATTTTATCAATATTAATAATTAAAATTATAAATTTTTCTATACATATGTAATAACTTTTTCAAATTGCCTCTGATTGGTAAATTCTCCAATCAGAATGCATTTTTTGACTTTTTATAAAAAAATATATAGAAAAATGAAAATATAATGTAACCAAAAAAAAATAAAAAAATAAATGTATACTTATATAGTGTATCCCAAATAAGGCCGCCCACACCCACAACCACATGAGATTATCATTAAAGTCGTCCCATCCTAGCAGCTAGCATCCCCTCGCCTGACCAACCGACGTTAATGAATGAAGCCCCTCATGATTTTACTCTCACTCACCCCTATTTCCTTTGATTCTCTCTCTTTCTCTCTCTCTCTCTTCCTCTCTGTCTAATATATTTATTTAATTAAATTAAATGACCCTTTCAACAGAAAGGAACACATAAGAAAAGACAGGACCTAAATAAGAACAATAACAGTAAATGTATACTAGGGAGTCGTGCTCTTTTAACACTTAAGAGGACCACCACCCCAGCAGTGGATGAAACTTTTGGCATCATGTTTTGGCCATATCTTCTTTGTAGGTTACATTTGGAAAGATAGAATAGAAACTACCACTAAAAACATTCCCTTCAACCCATATATCTGTATATATAGTTAAGAAATATAAGCAGGCAGGCCTTTGTGTTTGACTTACCTTTGCAAACAAAAGTAAATTCGAGCATGTGCACCTGAGAGAGTTTCTTCCAAGTCAAACTGAACTGAAGAGAGAAGGAGACTACTGCCGTGGCTTAAAGAACACACGCCTTAACCTTAGAGATTTTTATGAGAAATAGAATGGAGAATAAACAAGGAAACAACATTTTGACATCATCAGCCATGAGAACATAGAGTGTGAATAACTACTATATGTTTCGTTCAAAGTCACAATATGCACTTCAAATCCATACACACACAGTACTTTCCCAATATTGCAATTTATTAAACTGATGATAAGTAAAACAAAATCCACCATTAATTCAAGACCTTGGATCCAATAAAAATGGAAACTATATTGTTTCCCCAATATTTATTCCCTAAATCCTTGACTACAGCATGTCCTGATTTGTTTCATTGCCTTGCCCCCTGTTGATGTATGCAAGCTATGACAGTAAACATCTACCTACCATACCAACCTACCAACCAAGTCCCAATAAAATCCATCTAAAATTCCAATCCAATCCAATCCAAAGTAGCTAATCCTATCCTGGTACAATCATAACCCATATGACAGCTAACAAAGCATGATCCATAGTAGCTAGGGATCAATGAAACATATTTTCTTCTAATTATTCACAATATGCTATAGACATATCATAAAGCATGATACTTCGAAGCTATTATCTCAGGAAATCCTTAATAAAAAATACTTGGAATTTGCTTATATTTTATCACAAACTTGTTGAAACGGCAACTCAGAAATATATATATTCAGATCAGAAAGGTAATTTCCCTCTCCTACCTCTACTTCTTTAATATTTGTTTTTTTTTTCTCGCGTCCAAACCTACGAAGCATGGACACGCCAAAATGAAAGCTGTGGGGGTGTCGGATACGCGAACACGCCGGGGACACAGCGGAGACACGTACGGGACACGACATCTGGCGTGTCCACTTAATTTAATTTATTTTTTTGCAGGGGATACGACAGGGACACTGCGGGGACACGCGTGTCCAAATCTGGACACGCCATGGACACAGTGAGAATTCGACGAGCTCTCTCTCTCGTCTTTGCCTTCTCAGAGCTCTCTTTCTCTCTCTCCCCTTTGCCTTCTCAGAGCTCTCTCTCTCTCTCACACATTTTTTCTCTCCCTCATGATCGCGATCGTCTCCTTCTCTCTCGCATCGCGATCGTCTCCCTCTCTCTCATTTTTGTCTCCCTCTCCATCTGTTCTCTCTCGTCTTTATCTTCTTGTCTTGTTTCATTCCAGTAAACAATTGTAAGTTTTATTATTTATGTTTATTTAAACTGTTTTATTATTATTTAAGTTGATTTAAACTGTGTTATTTTAGTGCTGTTTCCTCCTTCCTGCTTCCTTGTCTTTTGGTATCAGAGCCAAGTTGAGTTGTATCCTATTACTCACTGAATCATTATTTCCGTGTCTACTCATTCTCCTGTGTTGAAATTATTTACAGTTTACCGTCTTAATCTGTCCAATTTATATCTGTGTCTTTCCACATTGCTATTAGCCACTCATCCTTCGTCCCAAGTCCTAGGTAAGTCCTTTGGTTAGGCAGTGTTGGATTTTAGAGGTTCTCCGAACTGGGTATGTTTGAAAACATCGTATGTGAAAACATGATAAAATTAGACAATGTATTGAGCTCACTGTAAACTATTTCAAGATAAAATGAGTCGATTATTTAGAAGTAATTCATCGATTAGTTCTAGGTCAACAACTTTGCCTTCTATACCTAATCAAGGTTTAGTAATCAATGAAGAAGATGTAGAAATACAAAATGATAAAATTGATTTAAGTTGGAATATACCACGTTTACCAATCAAAGAAAGTTATAAAACTACTTTTATACAAAATACATTTAATGTTAATCTTCATGTTAAAACTTTAGAACAAGTCTATGCTTTAGAAAAACCTAGAGAAACATGTTAATTATTTGATGCTAATACTATTAAACGACATTTAAAAACTGATCACAATTTTATTAATTTAGGATTAATTCAGGTTGGAATCAAACCATTAACACAACAAGGTAAAAATACTTATGTTTTACTGTACTTAAGAGATGCTCGTTTTCTTGATTATAATGATAGCTTAATGGGTATGATGGAAACTGGTCTTCACAAAGGACCGTCCATTTTAATTGTTTTCCTGATTTTACTCTTAGTCTTAGAGACCCCCATATATTAGATGCTTTAACTCTAAATATTCAATTACATGGCTCATTTACAAATATGAAAGAAAAGGTTCATAATATTGCTTTAATTTATCGTGTTCATTACAAATGTATTAAAACCAATTTGAATGTTCAAGACTTACATAAAAGTCTTAAAGACAAAACCTTACTAATCCAAAGTAGTAATAATGATACTAATATAAATATTCCTCAAATGATTGAATGGAAAAATATTACTCTCTCCGACCAATGGGTTACAGTTAATGAAAATTACAAACATAATCAACGACAATCTACTTGTCAAGATATTCAAGATATTCAACAATTTATTGATGGATCTGTTAGGATTAAATTTAATCGATCTCAATCTTCTCGTCATGGTACTTCTAGTATACCTACTGATGTTGAAACTAAAGATGAAATATTTAACACACCTTTATTCAGAAAAAATAGTCAAATTCATCTAAGTCAACCTTCCCATAGATTTAATACACCTTTATTCAGAAAAAATAGTCAAATTCATCTAGGTTAACCTTCCCATAGTAAAATGAAAGGAATTGATAATTCCACAACTTCCCAAATTAGTAAACCTGTTTATTCTACTCACACACATCTACATGAAGAAGATACTGAGTCTCAAGACTCTCCAACTCAAACTAATTTCGAAGTTATACCTCTAATAAATCCTCAGTTAATGACTATTAGTAAACTCTTTACTCTTGATCTTGATAAATTACATATTGAATTTAAATCTAAAGATAATAAGACTAAATGTTATGCATATCGTATCAAATATGATTTGACTCAACAATCTAAAATTACTCGTTAATGGTACAAATTTATGATTGAACATAAAATTGAAATTCCTTTCTTTGAATATTTAGAAGACCATTATAAAGAAGTTCAAACAATTACCAAACATAAATGGAAAACTTCTCCTACTACTATTATTAGTTCTAGCCATCCTCCTTTATCTACCATAATTATTGATCATCACGGCTCCGAAGTTCCAGCCTCTCCTTTTAAGTTACCTGGTACTGACCCTGAAATCAAAAAAGTTATTGAACAAAATAATTATACTAATCAATGTTTAAAAATAATTGGTAAATAATTAGATAAAATAGAAATCAATTTTGATGATTATTCGGCTAACAATACATCTACTAAACAATCTTTAGACCAACCATTACTTAATTTACCTAGGAACCGTTCTAAACGTCATAGTTTAGTCACCCAAGATAATTCTACTGTCAAAGCCATTGAACAATTATTTGCTAAATTAACTACCTCTAAAAAAGCTTCTCCATCTACTGAGAAAGGTCTTACTATATTAAACCAACATCCTACTCTTGACTCTGTTTCTACTCATTCAGACCCTGACACAACTAATAATAAAATTAATCATTTAGCTCAACAATTTCAATCAACTACTCTGAATAAACTTCATTATCCTAAACCTAATCCTATAATGCTCACAAAAAATTGGTATTCACGACCTACTCCCTCTGATCTCCAATATGAAAAAAATAATCTTAGTAATCAATTTTCTGTATCTGCTAAAAAATTATACGAATGGAATATTGATGGTCTCAGTGAAGATCAAATACTTCAAAAATTAAATAATTTATCTATGGTTGTAAATAGTTATCTTAGTAACTACCCTGATTATACTCAACCTGAAATTGTTT